AATGCCACTTTTGGTCAGCAACATTCGGGTTATCTATGGTTATATACAGTATGACCAAACTCTTGTCAATAATAGAAAGGAATAAAATATTGTTTATACAATAAACAAAGAAAATGAATTAACTGACAAAGAAAATGAATTAACTGACAAAAAAGCAAATGAAATTTTCAGTCATTCCTTAACAAGACAACAGAGTAGTCTCCCTTTACCTGATTTCACTGAAATTAGCAAAAAATAGGAGATCAATCAAAATGCAACAGAATTAAGGATTATATCAAGGCAGATACAAGTCAAATAAAATATGTGGGGTTCTAATGTACAGTAATCATCATAACTAGCGCCCAAGACATTTAAACATGTCAGATGTTCGATGGGGTTCTACAATAAGACCCATGAAGTCAATTGGTCTTCAGCAAGCAATGCTTGTCGTAAGAGGTGATCGGGTGGTCAAGCTCACTGACATGGTTGACACATGTCATTGTATCCCAATTGTGTAGATCGATGCTCATGCTGTTGATCACTGGATTGTCTGGTCCAGATTCCATTATTTACAGACTGTCGCCATATCGCTGGAATATTCGCAGTGTAACACAAACATAATACTGAGCTGGTCATGTATTACTTGGAAACCGAAATGTCTCTTGAAACGAAACTGTGAAGTTCATGTTTCATATCAATTTTGCTGAATGAATGACTGTTGTTTTTCAACACCACAACCAGCAATATATGATGGTGGTTCGTAAATAACGAAGCATGGACCATACAATTCAGTGGTTGACATCAGGGCCATTAATCAACACAACTGTAATATGATGACTAGCAATGAACAGCTAGAATCACCATCCGAACCATTTAACTGCCTCTTATGATCTGTACAGTTTGCTGGAGATCTATTTTAGGGAATTCTAGGGATCTTTCGCATAGTTTGCTGGGGATCTATGTTCGGGAATTCCAGAGGACCTTCTGCATAGTACACCGAGAATCTATATTCGGGAATTCCAGAGGATTTTGTGAGTTATTATCAGAGGGCTCATTATTATGATTACTGTACGTATATATATTTTCTAAAAGTAAAGACATCCATGTATATGAATAATGCATGAGGCTCCACAGTAACCAAAAGTTGAACTGGAAATACAATGTCATCCATGAGGACAAGGCAAACAAAGTTACCATAAACAAGCTGTTGTAAAGTGACAATGTAGTCCTGATCAAATGCAGCATGTGATTTTAAAACAATGTCTACTAAAATATGAACGTATTGCTTTGTTTTGCCTAAAGGAGACTGATTCAGTCTTCTTGTGAATATATTGAATCTCCTCTGACCAAACATGTTGTTTGATGAAAGGTCAAGGTCAAGGTGATCCAATTCACCATCATTAGTGTTTTGAAGGAAAGGATGGAAAGGACGGATCGGACAACCCTTTATAAGATGTAGCTACCATCAGTCAGTCATGTCCACAGCTCATTTCAGGTCGAGTGGTAATGTATTCTGATAATATATTCTGATAATGTATTCTGATAATGTGTTTTGATAACACAACTAGTTTAATTCAGATCGTTACCACTCTCTGAAAAACAGATTAGTGGCAGAGTCAAATCCTGTTCATGGGCCCTCCATCTTTAGCAAAAAGTTAAAACCGTGACATTTCCAAAACGCCAAAAATGACCTCATCACCATCTCTTTTGAAAGGTAAAGCAGTTTTGTAGAAACATAATTATATCTGGAAATTTGAGGTTTAATGAAAAGATGGAAGACACAAGTAACTAAAGTCAACTAAGAAAATGTAAAAATAAAAAAAAAATAATAATAACAACTGATCAGTAATGATAAGATGCAAGTGCAATAAATAGATTCAAAAATGTGTCATGCCCAACATAAGAAAGCAAATGGGTTAGAGTAAAAACTATTTTATTCACTTACGAACAATGCAATGGTTCAACATGTAAAATAACGTGTACACAATATTTTTAATATTGATTAACATGCTAAAGATGCAGTGCATGTTTTACATAAGTGTCTAAATGTTGGAAATTTATTTACTAATTATACAACAGTGCAATTATTTGATTAGGTTAAGTAGCACAGTTAAAGCCTCCTCAATACGATCAAACATATCATTTACAACACCAGAGTTAGATATAATGAGAGGGAGTTTTTTGTTAAAATCTCTTTCATTTACACTCTTGTTGAACATACTTGATCAACACATAGTACTCAAAAGAAATTAAGGACCATTTGATTCTGTCATATTGCTAAAGTAGGGAGTGAGTGAGTGAGTGAGGGAGTGAGTGAGTGAGTGAGTGAGTGAGTGAGTTTACTTCTACGTCGCTTTCAGCACTATTCCAGCAATATCACGGCGGGTGACACCAGAAATGGACTTCACACATTGTACCAATGATGGGAATCAAACCAGGGTCTTCGGTGTGACGAGCTAACGCTTTAACCGCTTAGGCTACCCCACTGCCCCTATTGATACAGTAAATTTAAACTATGTCCTTAGTTGTATATGTAGGAATTGGCTGTCCTTAACTTCTTAAGAGAAGTGTTAACAGAAAGGCTACAGAGGGGTAACACCTCCACGAAATGTTCGTAACAGAGGCTAAATCTACAAACACGTTTGGCAACATTGGTGGAGTTTGGTAAATAATACCGACAACAATTGGCAACTTTTCACTCCATGGACGCTTCGCTAATTCCTACACATCGAAGAACATCAGGATCAAACTTTTTGCACAGCCATTTGAAATTACCAGTGAGAACACTTTGTGTCTTCGCAACAAGTGAGTGAGTGAATTTAGTTTTACGCTGCACTCAGCAATATTCCAGCTGTATGGCGGCGGTCTGTAAATAATCGAGTCTGGAACAGACAATCCAGTGATCAACAGCAAGAGCATTGATCTGTGCAATTGGGGACCGATGACATGTGTCAACCAAGTCAGCAAGCCTGACCACCCGATCCTGTTAGTTGCCCTTACGAAAAGCATGGGTTACTGAAGGTCAATATTTTAACCCAGACCTTCACGGGTATTTTCGTAATAAAGTCTCAAGGACATCTTTGACCTCAAGGAATAGTAATATACTACTCAAAATAGGTCAATGAACCGCCACCCGTGAAGGTCCGGGTTAGAATTGTTGTTCAGCATTCCATGCCTGTCGTAGGAGGCAACCAACAGGATTGTTGCTCAGGCTCACTGACTTGACTGAAACATATCGTATCCCAATTGCATAGATCGATGCCCGTGATGTCAATCACTGGATTGTTTGGTCCAGACTTGATTATTTACAGACTGCCGTCATATAGCTGGAATATTGCTCTGAGAATGCGGCATTAAACCAGAATCTTAAGGAACACTCCATTAATCCATATTGCTATAGCTAATGTCATGCCCTAAAGGATGACTGACTGAGTGTGGTCATGCCCTAACAGATGACTGACTGAGTGTGGTTTTACACTGCTTTTAGCAACATTCCAGCAACATCACGGCAGGGGACACCAGAAATGGGCTTCACACATTGTACCCATGTTGGGATTCGAACCCGGGTCTTTGCAGTGCCTGACTGAGTTTGGTTTTACGTCGCTTTTAGCAATATTCCAGCAACATCCGGTGGGGACATCAGAAATGGGCTTCACACATTGTACCCATGTGAGGATTTGAACCCGGGTCTTTGCAGTGACGAGTCAACACTTTAACCATAGTTACCCCACTGCCCCCCTGACACAAGAACTTATATGGAGTGTTATCAGTATTCTATATCTAACTTCACAGAGTCCCCAGGATAGCCGATTTTTGCGCGTATTTGTGACAGTATTAAATTATATACTTCGCAATACAGCCAGGATATAAACCTGAGAGTTCTTTTCCAGAACTTCTGGGAACAAACTATTTTATCAATAGAATCCAAGCTGCCCAACTCGAAAAAAATCGAATGGTCATAGTTTAGTCCACTAGGTACTGCAGAGCTAATGAGCTCTGGGAACATCACAACCAGAATCTATTAACAAATCCAAAACCAAGGAGTGAGTTAGTTCAGTTTTATGGCATTTTTAGCAATATTCCAGCAATGTCACAGTGGGTGATACCAGAAATAGGCTTCACTCATTGTAACAATGTGGGGAATAGAACCTAGGACCTTTGGTTTGACGAGAAAACGCTTTAACCACTGGGCTACCGCACCGTCCCCCCAAACCAAGGACTTGTAAGGGACAGCTTGAGACCATTCTAGTCATGTAAAATCTGTGTAATATTCTGACGGACTGAGTATGGTTTTACGCCGCTTATAGCAATATTTCAGCAATATCACGGTGGGAGACACCAGGAATGGGTTTCACACATTGTACCCATGTGGAGAATCGAACCCGGGATAGCTACCCCACCGTCCCTGTGTAATATTCAGTATGGCTGTGCAAACATGTCTGATTTTCTAGGATGATTTAACATTGCACATAAAATGAGGTACCCATCAGCTTTATCACCCACAGATCCTGAATCACACGTCTATCACAGAGATTGTCATCCTTGCCAGCTAAACAGCTAAAACATAATGACTTGATATATGGATTTACTTTGCTGAGTCAGCTTTTTGCAACATGTACTATCACAATATTACTCAAAAAAATAAAAAAAATAAATTAATAAAGTGTTCAAAAAGGAGATTTTTCTGAAAAAATTGGGATGAGAAGAAAATTTGACAATTAACTTAACCTCTCCCCCACCAATTACTGTTTTGTTTCACTTTTTACATACTAACAGACTATGACTTTTAGAAATCTCTCAAAAAAACCCCATGTCTTCAATGTTATGTAAAACTGTAAACCATATTTTTGTTTTAAAAAAGATGCCTAATAGGTAAGCTGAAGCATATCAGAACGACAAGATGCTATTTTTAGTCCGAACATTCTACAAGCTTAAGCTTGATAAGTCTCAAGCTTTACAAACAATAATTGTCAGCTTTGTTAGTATCAAAGACGGGTTATTTCAACAATCCTACGGTTTACCCCATCATCTGATGTATCGCCAGTGTTCGCATTTTTGGGAATAACGTGTCCATAGAGCTTGCTTGACCCTGGCAAAGACATCCGTCCAACTGCATTTCGTTGCCACAACGCCGCAACGTTTGGTTCCGAATTTGGCCTTTGCAATTCGGTAGTTATGGCTGGCTTTAGCATTTTGTTCCTACTAACTGGTTTTGAAGCTTTGCCTCTCCGAGAATAATTCGGTCCCTCATCGTGTAAATCTTGCAAGGATCCTGCTACGGCGACCCCATCAGTGTCCGTGTCACTGGAGCTTGTTGCCGTGGTTACAGAGTTTTCGGAATTAGTTAAAAGCGAGCGTTTTGACTGGCTTGTGTGTGATATTTGTTGGTTAGATGGGCCAAGGCTACTGCTGCTTCTTTGTGAGTGTGTGTGTGAGTTTGCGAGGACTGATGAGGAATTGTGGGATACCTTGGCCACCGACACCGAGCGCTGAAGAAAGAAAAACAACACATGCAGCATGCAGAGGTACAGGTGAATAAACAATGAGGAACTGTCTGGTTCGTCTTGGTGAATGGTCAGAACTGTTTCTGTTTTTCCAAAATCCTTTTTATTTTGTCGTGTACTGGTTAACACAACATTGCAGGCTTATAAACCTTTCAGTAATGACATCCTGTTGTTGTTACAGGGTTTTCATTTTGTACAATAACCTCTCAAATGGGAATTTCCCCAGAATATACCACTGTCCCAGGATCGTTTTTAGAAAATTCCCCTGTCCCAGCAAGATTCTGTAGAAAGTACCTCTCTCTGAGAGATATTTTGTAGGAAGTCCCCTTGTCCCAGCAATAGTCTACAGAAAGTCATTGTCCCACAGGTATTCTATAAATAGTCCCTTTGTCCCACAAATATTCAATAGAAAGTCCATCTGTCCCATCAATATTCTACAGAAAGTCCCTGTCCCATCAATATTCTATAAAAAGTCCCTTTGTCCCATCAATATTCTACAGAAAGTCTTTCTGTCCCATCAATATTCTATAAGAAGTCCCCTTGTCCCAGAATATTCTACAGAAAGTCACTGTCCCACAGGTATTCTATAAATAGTCCTCTGTCCCACAAATATTCTTTAGGAAGTACCCTCTTGTCCCATCAATATTCTGCAGAAGTTCATCAATATTCTACAGAAATATTCGAGGAATATTCAAAAAGTCCCATCAGCAGGAATATTCTATAAAAGTTCATCTGTCCCAGGGATATTCTACAGAAAGTTCCCTTGTCCCAGGAATATTCTATAAAAGTTCATCAGTCCCAGGAATATTCTATCAAAAGTTCATCCCTGTCCCAGGAATATTCTACAAAAGTCCCTGTCAGCTATTCAGGAATATTCTACAGAAAGTCCCAGGAATATTCTGCAAAAGTTCCCTTGTCCCAGGAATATTCTATAGAAAGTTCATTGTCCCAGGAATATTCTACAGAAAGTCCCATCAGTCCCAGGAATATTCTATAAAATATTCATCAGTCCCTTGTCCCATCAATATTCTGCAGGAATATTCTACAGAAAGTCCCTGTCAGGAATATTCTACAGAAAGTCCCTGTTGCAGGAATATTCTACAGAAAAAGGAATATTCTACAGAAAGTCCCTGTTGCAGGAATATTCTACAGTCTCAGGAATATTCTTAAGTCCCTGTTGCAGGAATATTCTATAGAAAGTTTCTGTCCCAACAATATTCTACAGAAAGTCCCTGTCGCAGGAATATTCTACAGAAAGTCCCTGTTGCAGGAATATTCTACAGAAAGTCCCTGTTGCAGGAATATTCTACAGAAAGTCCCTGTTGCAGGAATATTCTACAGAAAGTCCCAGTTGCAGGAATATTCTACAGAAAGTCCCTGTTGCAGGAATATTCTATAGAAAGTTTCTGTCCCAACAATATTCTACAGAAAGTCCCTGTCGCAGGAATATTCTACAGAAAGTCCCTGTTGCAGGAATATTCTACAGAAAGTCCCTGTTGCAGGAATATTCTACAGAAAGTCCCTGTTGCAGGAATATCTACAGAAAGTTTCTGTCCCAACAATATTCTACAGAAAGTCCCTGTCGCAGGAATATTCTACAGAAAGTCCCTGTTGCAGGAATATTCTACAGAAAGTCCCTGTTGCAGGAATATTCTACAGAAATTCTGCAGGAATAATTCTACAAAGTCCCTGTTGCAGGAATATTCTACAGAAAGTTTCTGTCCCAACAATATTCTACAGAAAGTCTCTGTCGCAGGAATATTCTACAGAAAGTCCCTGTTGCAGGAATATTCTACAGAAAGTCCCAGTCGCAGGAATATTCTACAGAAAGTCCCTGTCCCACAGGTATTCTATAAATAGTCCCTCTGTTCCACAAATATTCAATAGGAGGTCTATCTGTCACAGGAATATTCTACAGAAAGTCCCTGTCCCACATGTATTCAATAAATATTCCCTCTGTCCCACGAATATTCTACAGAAAGTCCCTGTCCCACATGTATTCAATAAATATTCCCTCTGTCCCCTAATGTCCAGAAAGTCATGTCCCATTGTATAAATATTCCCTCTGTCCCAAGAATATTCTACAGAAAGTCCTGTCCCACGAATCTTCTACAGAAAGTCACTGTCCTACAGGTATTCTATAAACAGTCCCTGTTCCACGAAAAATTGTACAGAAAGTCCCTGTCCCCAGCTATTCTATAGGATATTCTAATATAAATAGGTCCCTCTGTCCCTCTGTTCCACAAATATTCTATAAATATTCTATTCTATAAATAGTCCCTCTGTCCCAGGAGGGAATATTCTATAAATAGTTCATCTGTCCCAGGGATATTCAATAAAAGTTCATCTGTCCCAGGAATATTCTACCAAAAAGTCCCAGGAATATTCTACAGAAAGTTCTGTCCCAGGAATATTCTATAAAAAGTCCCTGTCCCAGATGTACTCCCTGTCCCAAATAGTCCTTCTGTCCCAGGAATATTCTACAGGCATTTCTATAGGAGGTCCCTGTCCCAGGAATATTCTATAAAAGTCCATAAGTCCCAGGGATATTCGACAGAAAATCCTTTTAATGAGATTTCTTTAGCATTTGAACACAATCCGTGTTCACAGAGGTAAAATCAAACAAAAATTTGTCTTTGCTAAGGATCAATCTTTGTATTTAAAACCAACTGAAAGTATCACTGGGCTTCAGAGGTGCTCATATGCCACAATGGTTGTAAGAATCCCTTTTACAAGTAACATAATCCTGCAATAGATGTTTTATTTCTATTCCCTCACACTCATGTAAGGCTCGTATAAATGATTTTTTTTTCATCTTTCACTTACAAGGGAGACAATTTCCTTGAATTTTTATGAGGACATGACAACTTGAAAACACATAGACAGAGTGTGCGAAGTAGCCACTGGCCCGCTAGCCTGTGGCTAGTAAAAAGCAAGTCAGGCCAGTAAATCAATTATTATTATTATTATTATTATTAAATCTCCACAGTCACTGGCCCGACTGGCTTGTGAATTTTCATTGGGTCATTTTGTAAATATATCATTCTCTACGACTTGTTAAGTTATAATACACTTAATTTGTGGGCTAGTAACTTTCAGACATAGGTAGCCCGAATGGTTATTAAAATTTGAAAACTATTTCGCACACTGCACACAGAGAGTGATCATTCTTAGATCACTGAGTAACATCTGACTGCCTACTACCAGGACTGACAAGACAGCAATACTGCCATTCCTTGAAGAACCAGACAATAACAAACTCAACAGACAAACACAACACACAAGGGAAGGCTAAGCTAGAAAATAACACAAACAAGGCCACGACAAACTTTGTAGCTTGTTCAATGAAATTTTGTGAATTTGAACATTCAAAAAAAATATTAATAATAAAAGTAAAAATTAAAAATGATTAAATACTACTTTTACATTTTTTCAATAATCAAATTGGAAAAAAAAAAGAAAAAAAAAAGTTATTTCTTTTTATGAAAATTCATTGTAAAAATGACCAAAGACAGAAAATAGATATTGGTGCATGTTTGTTGTTTAACACCGCACACAGCAATATTCCAGCGATATGGCGGCGGTCTGTAAATAATCGAGTCTGGACCAGACATCCTAGACACACTGGGCTACTCTCCAATCATTGAGAGGATGTAGGTATTCTTTATCTTTAGTTTTATCTTTATGGCTGGATTAAAATAAAGATGTAAAGCTGCATAAGAAAAGACAAAAGATCAGGTGAAAGTATAAACCGAGACATACAAGTAATCAGTTTGTTGTGACCTAATGCAAAGACTTAAAATGCCTTATTCTGTAAATGAAAATCATATCTTTTGTCAGATTGACAAAATGAATAAATAATCTTTTCTAAAAACTAACATGCAAGCCTTTGCCTAACAAACATTTCACCACCACCACAAGCTTCGCTCTAGTCCACAGCCCTCAACAAAGGTTCCAGGGTCACATTCCCAAAGGCCATCTTGGCGCCAAGGTGATCGTAACCCCATTACGTTAATATGTGCTTATGAAAATCATAGCGCAGAGATCACTCTGTGGACCGGAGACCAGGGTCCACGTGCACAAAGTGACCCTAACTCTACGATGATCGCAAGCCTATGGCAAAGAATGGGAGTTACGATAATCGTAGCTCTAAGACAGTTTTGTGTAAGTGGACCTGGTACATATAAACAACCATGCAGATAGAACATGTTTTTTTCTAAACCAGGTTTTTGAAATTATATGCTTTAAAACAATTCCTAGTGAGCGTTCATTGTTTGTGTTATTGTGTTTGTGTGTATGTGTCCTGTATGACAACAGTCTGCAAATATTCAACTCTGGAACAGACAATCCAGTGATTGATGTTGTAAGCAATGATTTAAACCATTGCAGTATGAAGACACTATGTCCACAAAGTCCCACAGCCTGGCCATCCTATCCAGTTAGTCATTGCTTATGAGAGAGCGGAAGGTCGCGAGGTTCGATCCCCGAGCGTCATACCAAAAGACGTTAAAATATGGTACTTGTTGGTCCCTGCCTGGCGCTCGGCATTAATGGGTACAACAAGGACTGGTCGGCTCGGAGTCAGTATAATGTGTCTGAGTGGGGTATTCATGCTTCACTGCGGCATGGTACCTCAGTGAGCTAGCACTATAAAACCAGCTTAAGTCTGGGCTAGTACAAGCAGCCCCACATACACATACACCCGCATGCACGTCGTCATATGAGCGAAATATGCTCCAGCGCGATGTTAAACCCAATTTCACCTCACCTCACCTCATTGCTTATGAACAGCATTATTTGATGAAGACCAATCCTAACCTAGATTAACCTGAATATATACAGTCGAGCACCGTTGTGTCGAACTCTGATAACTCGATATCTCGGTTGTCTCGATGTACATCTCCGTCCCGGCAAAATCCTTCATAAGTTATCATTATTCAAGCTCTTTTAAGTCGACACGGATGTCTCGATATTTCGGATGTCTCGATATAATTTCATGGTCCCAACAAGCAAAATTACCCTTTTAACTCGATATTTGTAAAGAAACTCGATATTCACCTACCTTTCATGGTCAAGTGTCCCTCTGAACTGAGGTTGTTTTGACACATTTACACACGGTGCGGCATGAATCAAAGCGATGCGGTAGTGTAAACTAATTAGGGCTAATTGAGTTGAAGGAGTCACTTGTTTGTTATTTAATTACGATTAATTAAGAAGGAATTAATTAGGAAGGACTCACTGTTATGAATAAACACTACTGATTACGAATTATAGTTTCGAATCAAAACATACTGAGAAGCGTTTTGTTTTCTTTCATTGTGATATGAGATGATATGCCCTGGTGGAATGTCTCAAAAATCGGATAACTTCGATATTTTTTCTTGGTCCCATGAATATCGAGACATCGGTGCTCGACTGTATAATTTTCATTGTAACAAATAATCCATTAAATTGAAAAGGAGCTCCAGGGAGACCAGAGCTTAGAACTTGAGGAAATCTGGACTTGCTTCATTTAGGGCTTTGGGCTAGGCTGTATGAAAAACAATATGGTTCAGGGACTGTGAGACAGACTAATCCTAACCCAGATTGTCATCGGGCATCTTGTTTAGTAGCAGTGTTCACGAAGTGTCTGACCCTCTGACAAATCCGGCAGATTCGCCAACGGTCAGACAGAAGTCTACCAGATTGTCATGTCAATTATAAGAAATATTAAATCTGAAATGTGGTTTAATGTATATTCCATGGGTCCTGTGCATTTTCAATTGGTCAGACAGACATCTGAAACTTACAAGAACCAATGTCCTGTGACTTTGAAACACCATTCGTGAACACTGTGGTAGATTTAACTCCTTATAGTTTTCATTAGCAAATGCCACAAGACAAACCATGAACTAGGTTTTGTGCTAGTGGCTATGGTAGCAGAGTTGTCGAGTCCTGACGGTATAGCTCAGGGACAGATACAGATTTTGAGACCTGTTTCAAAGAGTGAGTGAGTGAGTTAAATTTTACGCCACACCCAGCAATATTCCAGCTTTATGGCGGCGGTCTGTAAATAATCGAGTCTGGACCAGACAATCCAGTGATCAACAGCATGAGCATCGATCTGGGCAATTGGGAACCGATGACATGTGTCAACAAAGTCAGCGAGCCTGACCGCCCAATCCCGTTATTTGTGCCTCTTACAGACAATCCAGTGATCAACAGCATGAGCATCGATCTGGGCAATTGGGAACCGATGACATGTGTCAACAAAGTCAGCGAGCCTGACCGCCCAATCCCGTTATTTGTGCCTCTTACTGTTTCAAAGAGAGTTTCAAAGGTCATTTAATAAACTTTCAGGACAAAAGGCGGATCTGCCTGTGTAGCTGTCCTGTCTTTTGAACTTACAGTTTGGTGTGAAGATTCAAAGGGTTTTTGATACAGTTACATCACTATAATGTTCGTCTCCAAAAAGGGTCTGCTATGTATATGAAGAATATTGCCTAGATTCTTTTAGAAATATTTAAATTTATTCAATGTCTCACAGTCTGAACACGCGAATTACACTTTTACACAAAAATAAAAAGAACTTGTCATAAACACCTGTTGCTCATGGGTGAAGAACTTGAAAACATGGATATATTTTTACAAACTATTCTACTGCACATGCACATTAAAACACTGATCATGCACATTTTAGATTGGCGAGAGTGAGTTGGGATAAATGATGATGTGTTTCTGGGGTGAGGTTTTGTATGTGATGGGGTGTGGTCACCATCATTTGTTTGTTGTTATGCTTCCCAACACTCCAGACACATTACAGTGGTTAAATCTGGACCAGACAATCCTGTGACTGACATCATGATCATAACGTCCATGCAATTGGGATACATTGACGACCATCGATTTATCTAGTCGCCTCTTGGCTGCTTGAGACCTTTATTCACACCAAACAGGATTCCACATAAATTTGAGGTCTGTTTTGAGGGTGTTTGTTTCCACACTAGTCATGCAAGTTTAGGATTGTTTTATATGTATGTGTTTGATAAATGTCATGTAAATGTGAGTCTGTTTTTGAGGGTTTATTTGTTCCACACAAATTAAGGTCTGTTCTGTGTTTGATAAATGTCATGTAAATGTGAGTCTGTTTTGAGGGTTTATTTGTTCCACACAAATTAAGGTCTGTTCTGTGTTTGATAAATGTCATGTAAATGTGAGTCTGTTTTGAGGGTTTATTTGTTCCACACAAATTAAGGTCTGTTCTGTGTTTGATAAATGTCATGTAAATGTGAGTCTGTTTTGAGGGTTTATTTGTTCCACACAAATTAAGGTCTGTTCTGTGCTTGTGCTGAGGGTGTTTGAGTCACTTTGACTAATGTCACTCAAAAGTACAGTAGTTGGCCATAAGTGAGTCATCATTAGTGAAATTCTCATTGACTTGCATGTTAATTAACTCTTGCATGAATAATTGTCATAAATTTAGTATCGGTCGAATTGCTTTCAATACTTATCTACCAGCTGGGAAATCATCTCAGCTATATACACATAATTTTCCCATGATTATTAAGAAAATTGCAACTATTTAAACAACATATATTAGACATACCAATCCGGTTTAACATGGCTGTCTATGGGATAGATTAAAAGTTGTCCTTATATATGGTGCTTAATCAGGTGTCATTCGATAACTAATCAACGGAAAGATGAAAGAAATTATGCACACGCAGCTGAAGATGATTTCCATGATGTATGCAAAATATCAAAATAAAATGACTTCAGCTCAATTTATGAAAATTATTCTTGCAACAGTTAATTAACATGTAAGTCTATGGAAATTTTGCTAACGATGGCTCACTTATGGCCAACTACTGTAGGTCTGTTTTTACACTTAGTATGTGCTGCATATTTGAAACTACTTTACAAAGGTTTGTTAAGGTATCTTATGATATACCTGAACATAGCCTCATCACCAAAAAAAACAAAAATAACAGTCTGTTTGGTTTACATATCATCTACTTAGACAAAACATACGTCAAACACACTGGTTCTGAGGTACTGACTTGCCAAACAACATTTGTTACAGTCAGTTTTTGATACATAATGTGGCTTGTCTGATGATGGTGTTATTGAGAGTCAAGAAAATATTCCATTTCCTGCTTTCTATAAGATATAATGAATTTCAAGAACTAAATGGAGCCTCTTTAATCCCTACTGCATGCTATCAGTTAAGACTAAACACAAACCAAAAATAAAATATAACATATTTTAGCGGGGAATACACTAGAGGGGCTGTCTCAAAAGCATAGTTATCACAAAATTTTTGCTGGACAAAATGCCAAAGTTTCATACATTAAAACATTACTTGTTTCAATAATAAAATCATTAAGTTTCAAAATCTGATTCCCCAAACAAAATGTCATTCAGGGGCCGATCCACAAAGCGTTTGTTGCACTACGATATTCGTAAGTCAACAATTAACTATATAGTTACGATAGCATGTGACGATACTCATGCTTTGTGGATTGGGACCCTGAAGTCATAAAAAAGATGCAAAAGCTTTTGAAACAACCCCTTAAGGGGTCATAATAAGAGAAGAGAAAATTCAAGATGGCCAACTTACCACTTCCTCTTTGTCCACAGGCGTTCCATGTTCTTGTGAAGTTATCACTGGGTTTTCCAATGCACTTGAGTATGATGCATCTGTGCTGCTGTTGGTCTTCTTAGAAGGTGATAATTGCTCTGGACTTAAAGACATAGGTGACGGACCGAAGTCTCTATCACTATTCATCACAGAATCTGTAACAATAATATCATGAAAACAATGGTTCTGACAGTATAATTAAGTTTTGAAGAAATGGTATGAGAATGTTCACAAATAGGATATAATGTATTGTAGAACTTGATTCTAAAATGCTTCGGTGAAAGATCAAAGGCGCCGACAGTACTTTATCAGACGATAATGTGCACGTTTTGCATTACGTCACAATGTATTGGCGTCACTGCGCCATTCTAGTCTGCCCCTCGTAATTGAACAATTTTGCATTACGTCACAATGTAAGTGACTTCACGATGCATGTCAGTTGTCATCCCCTCGTACAGCCTCCTACAGCAAACTACTCCGTTGCATCCCGTTTCTTGGTTTGCAGTTGCTTCACGCAGCTAACATCACTGGTGGAAACATTACGTTTATGTTTTACGACGGTTAAAATGTCTCAATTCGACTCACAAGTTTTCAGCGACGTGGTAACGTTTGCAATGTTTACATTCCCACAATGCAATCGTGGAATGTCGCTTGACTACTCAGCTTCATCTGGATGTACTGATCTACATTGGTAGTAGAAATGTGACGTTCATATTGCCCCATATGGTTTACGTTAATCACAGAAGTAATTAAAATAGTTTAGAGAGGATATTTAATCCGAACGTAAACTGTCATCAAACTGTTATCATTTGTTTTTTCTGGTAACATTCGTCTTAACGTAAGGGGGCAGACACATCAATAGAACAGCGCGCCAGTTAGCCCTGTGCGAGGATTCTTAATTTAGGTGCCTACACCATCGTTTCTGCCTTAAATTAATCGTAATTATCCTTAGAAAGTATTAAATTTGGCATCTTAGAAAAGAAATACAGTTTGCTCTATCACCATGTACAGTGTAATAAAACAAACTTTCACCCTGAACTATTATAACGTTAAAGCACTCGGACGCAAGTGTCCTCATACTTTAACTGTAACAGCATCTGAGTGCTTTAACGTTATAATAGTTCAGGGTGAAAGTGTGCTTTATTACACTATATACATGGTGGTAGAGCGAACTGTATTTCTAAATAACGTTTAAAGGCGTTTCTAGAAGGTTCATATACAGAATTAACTTCACAGTCTGCGCCAGCACCTTTTGAGTCAAAAAGGTGGGTTTTACGCCAGTTTTAGTAATATTCCAGCAATGTTACGGCAGGGGACACCAGAAATGGGCTTCACACATTGTACCCATGTGGGGAATTGAATCCGGGTTTCAAGGTGACAAGCGAACATTTTAAACAGTTGGCTTAAACAAATATAAACAAGCATGCATGGTCACCAGATGTCATTACAACTGAGACTTGAACCTGGGCCTTCAGTGAGACGAGCAAACACTTTAACCACCAGGCAACCCCACCCCCTAAAGAAACTTTTGAGATTACAATCCCAAATAACATTTTCAGAAGATGTAAGACTATTATAGACAAGTACATCGTCTTGATCATTATTGTTCTACAAAGTAACAGAGACCCTTTTGTCAATATGAGCACCATCTCTGTAATCCTTTACCAAAATGTCAGAAAATTTCATACACATGCTTGAGAATATATTGTGTAACTGTAGCTGAAATTTCCAAACATTGCTAATTAGTTGTTCTACCCCTTTCCAATCAGTTAAAGAAAATAGCAACAAGAATGTAAATTAGGCGTAAGCTAGGCTAACTTAAAATCAATTTTACTTTAAAAATATAAAATATATACATGCTTCTATATCCTATACAGTTTGATTACAATGTTATTGCTAAAATATGACGACTATATTCCATGCAGAGCAATGCATTTCTCCACTTTGTGGAGACAAATAATTAGTCCCAGGGATAAAGTCATCAAAATTATCCATAAATTTGAAAAATCTAAATTGAGGCCAGAAAAATGATTAATTCCATACCAATCAAGACTCGCTAAGTCATTCTAGACTCGAGATGGGTTTACTGTTTAAATCTGTCTCCTGGGTCTGATAATAACTGTGTTGTATAGTTTTATGACTGTTTCATTTTAATTAAATTCAATTCAATATCAAAATTAAATATAATCAAATCATATTAAACTTATTTATTCTCACTACTGAACATAATGTAATTTTCTGAGTAAAATTGATATTTTATACTTATCCTGACTCATGCTCTTTTGCTTGTCCCCTTCCTCTTGCGAACATAGTGGAACACTTGTATCTCCTTAATTGAAGCTCCCTTCAATGTAAAATCACTAATTGGTACTCACCCACGAGTTACCTCCCCTGCCGTAAGCGCGGGAACAGGTGTCGCCACCCTCTGGCCTCATGCTTCACTCTCTCCTGATTTTGCGAGCCCAACACTTGAATTTACAGGGAAATCCAAAGTGTTATGTGGGGAGGATGGGAGGCTAACCTCATGAGTCAGGATAAGTATAAAATATCAATTTTACTCAGAAAATTACATATTTTCCTTATCCTGACTCATGCTCTTTTTGTTTGTAGAATCCAATCGGAGAGGTGGTGGGTAAACAGAATACTTTGGATTAATTAGTGATTTAAGTAAGTGATATTGTAATAACCCCTCCGAGGGAACTTCATAAGGCATTGAGACTTAGGATATTTCCTTATAATAAGCCATAGATATATACACTATAAGTGGGGTATTACCTTACTAATATACTGATATATCAATATATATATCTAAACTGCTACTCTAACGTAGCTGTACACTGAATATAACTCAGTATGAGCTTAAGGTTGAATAACCTAAGCTAAATATGTACATAGCCCTAGAACTCCATGGAGTTATAAGCTAGTGAATATATGTATCATATATCTAATAATCTCGTGGGGGTGAATATTAACGCCTACGAGGGACTGTCAATTGCTGAGCTGAGGACCAAAGGACCGAAATGATGAATGCCAGAGAGACGCCCTCGGTGGTGATGTCTCTGAGATAGTGATTAGCAAACACCATGTTAGATTTCCAAAGCATCCTTCCATAATTGTATTCAATGAACAGTTACCATGAAGGGCTTAGGTGGATGCCAATGCCCTGATTTCATGAGGATTTGATGCTGTTGGAGGGTCCAGTCCCTGCTGCCTTATAGGCTGCAGAAATGACAGTTCTTATCCATATTGATATGGTGGTACGAGAGACTTCTGTCTGATTTGTAGGCTGATAACGGATGAACAATCTTCTGAGCCGATCTTCGCCTTGTTTTGGAACCACGTAAATAGATTATGAGAGCTCGTACTGGGCATAGAGATAAGTCCAATGTATCTTGAGATCCAAGAATTGAGGATAGCTTAGGATGTGAAATAACCTGTCTGGTTGACCTGGTAGTTGATTTTTAGCGATGAAATCCCATCTTAATCCCAGGTGCGCTGTCTTTTGATTTTCATCAAACTGTATCCTCTCATAATCTAGAGCATGAATTTCAGATATTCTGGCTGCCGTGGCTAGCGATAACAGGAAGACTGTTTTCTGTGAGAGAAATTCAAAGCGTTGTCGATTCCAATGGTTCGTAATCCTCACTTGTGAGGTGTCGTAAAACTACATTCAGATCCCAAGCTGGGGCGTGGAATTTTCGCTTTGGTCCTCCAATCGGAAAGCACGTAGTAAGGCCAGTAACTCTGGTGTTCTTGTTAATTTAACACCCGCTCTCATAGAAATCACAGAACTAAGCTGCAAGATATGTTGACAATGTCGAGCCTTTAAATGTTTGTTTTGCCGTAAGTAACACAAATAGTCTGCCACTTGAGGATGCGAGCATCTCTCGCTGTAAAACCCTTGTTTGTTGCATAATTTTCGTAAACTTTGCCACTTGTCATCGCATAAGCCACGCTGCTGAGTATCGTGAAGGCAAGCGTGACCGCTTTTGCGCCCTGGTAGAATATCCTCCTCTTGTTTAAACACATTTTAATACAGTCCATAATGTGAAGTTTGAATACTTCTGGGTTTCTGTGCACCTGTTTGGTGTGAGGATGTATTAACAGGTTTTGCTAGCTGGGTAGTTCTAGTGCCGGTTGACCGATATCTTGTATTACATGGAAACTGACGCTCTGGCCGGCCAATAGGGCCGCCACCAAAGTGAGTTGTAGGCTCTGGGCGCTTGGTTGATTTTCTGTAATACTAGAGGTATTATTGCTGGAAGCGGAAACGCATTGATTGAGGCCTTCCCATGAAATGCTTAGAGCCGCCTGTTGCCCATGCTTGTGGGTCTGGCACTGGTGACACGAATGTCGGTAGTTGATTGTTGAACCTTGTGGCGAATAGATCTACTAGCGGCGCTCCTATTTGCTTGATTATCTGTGCAAATATCTCTGTATTGAGCATCCATTCTGTCGGGCGACGGTAGATGTGGGCGAGAGAGCGCCTGCTAGTATATTCCTGGTCTCGGGAATGTGGCATGCTTTGACATGTAGATTTAGATCTTGGATTAATTCGAACAGTTGAAAGGTTAAATTCAAAAAGGTTCGGGCGATCTCGCTGAGCCTTGTTTGTTCACATAAAACGCCACTGTCGAAGTTGTCGGTATGTATCATCAGGTAGCATTCTGTAGAATGTTGCTCCAATGTCTTATGGCGCTGATTACAGCTTTCATCTCTAATGCGCTTATGTGGAGTTTGCTTTCTAGCTGAGTCCATAACCCTGATGCCGTCCGTTGAGAGATGAGCTCCCCAACCTTGGAGCGACGCGCCTACTACATATAGATGGTTTTGAATTCCTGCTCTGCTAAACAAATCCCTTCGCAGACATTCGATTTCTTTGTCCACCATAATAGATGAGGTCTGAGATGTATCGGTAGACTGAATGGTTGTAGGTCGTCGAGATGTGTATTGATCGAAGACCTGTAACGGACGAACTGTAATCTGCCTATGACTGTCAAGTCTTGGGCTGATGTTAGAAGACCTAGTAAGCTCTGCCATTGTCGAAGTGGTAGCGGTGACAGTAGAGCTGGTGGAATGATCTGTTGGATCTTGAGCCAACGGTCTTCTGGTAATGACTATACGGTTGAGATTGGTGATAAATCGGATTCCTAGG